CCTTGGATGTATATGGCTGGCACCTTAGCCACTTGAGCCACAGGCACCAAGCTGTGAGATCTGTTTTTGCTCTCCATTTCTTTTGATCTTTGCGCTCCTGGGCTTCTTCAAAAACTTTGTCTTCAAAATCAGAGATCCTTTCTTCTGCCTGTTCCACCCTGTTACGGAGAGATTCCACCGTGTCTTTCAGATCCTTGAGGGCTGCATCCTCTTGTCTCAGTGTTTCAAAATCTTTGATCATTTTATCTTTAAAATCATTGAGTTCTTGAGACATCTTTTGAATAATTTCTTGAGAAATCTTTTGAATAATTTCTTGAACTCCTAATTCCTTCCTTTCTTCTATTCTGTTAATCTTATTTGCTATCCACATTCTGAACTTGATTCCTGACATCCCAGCCATTTGCTTGTGGATGGGGTCTTCAATTGTGTCTGCCTCATTTTCCCTTTGAGGAGTTGATCCACTCTGGTTATTCGAGTTGCCAGAGTTTTTCCACTGATTCCACCCCATGCTGAGTTTACCTTGTTTGGAGGCCTTATCAGAACTGTTCAGTTGGTGGCTTCTTCTGGTTGCCCAGAGAGACAGGTAGAGTGTGTCTGTTGTCTTCTCTCAGTTCTCGGGTGCTGGGGCAACTGGGGTGCAGTGGAATGGCAGCAGCTGCACGGGAGTGTGCATGGCCAGATTAGACCTCGTTTAGCCTGCCAGGGCGATCGGGGTGCAGGAGACCGGCAGCAGTTGGATCAGTCCTAGTTTGGCCCTTCCGGGGCAACTGGTGGAACAGGGGAATTGTAGTGACTAGATCAATCCTAGTTCAGCACCCAGGAGCAGTCAGGGGGTAGGGGAATGGCAGCAGTAGTGCAGGGTACGCAAGCGACCAGATCAGTCCTAGTTCAGCCCTGCTAGAGTAGCTGGCGGGGGAGCAGAGGACTCCTTCACCATCGCCCGTTGGATGCATGTGGCACTAGCAAGCCAATCTGTGCCCTCCCAGCGTGGGAGCCTGGAGCGGGGAACTCCTCCCCTGGCCCCCGTGGGGTGTGCGTGTCTCTAGCAAGCTGTTTTGGGTCTACCTGGAATGGAGGACTCCTCCGCCTCTGCCCACGGGATGCCCGTGGCACTAGCAAGCAGTTCTGGGCCTGCCCAGAGCAGGAGCCTGGGGCAGGGATCTCCTCTGCCGCCCATGAGGCGTGTGACTCTAGCAAGCAGTTTTGGGCCCGCCCTGCTCCATGAGGGCAAAGGTACTCACCCGGCAAATGGGTTAGTCTGGGAAGGTTGATACCTCCTTCCCCACCTTGCACCCAGTCACTCGTAATCCCCTATGTCTATGACCCTATTCACTCCAGTAGACCACTGCTCCCGGGGTTTATGACTGGCAAAATCAGCCAGAAATCTGAGTTCAGCAGGTGGGCCTTGCATGCTTAAATTAGGCTTCTATATGCCTAGATTTCTCTGCAAGTCCAAGGTTGGATTCAGCTCTGGGCAGCAGACAAATAGTGGTTTACACGCAGGTGTCAATTCTAGCCTCTGCCCACCCACTGCCTTTCTCTCAGCTGTATTAGCCCTTGAGGGCTGGTGCTTTACTTATGAAAGTTATCTGCGTTTTGCCTGTGGCTGCTGTCCGGAACCTCTGTTTGCCCAGAGAGACGGGGCTGGAATGGCGTCAGTTTGCAGCTCAGGATGCCACTGTTGCTGTATTGGCGTCCCCTAAGCCGATCTTCTTCTCCTCATGCCTGTGCCACAGTCAGCACAGAACAGCACCACCCACTTCCCCCTCCACTTCTCTCAAGGAGATGCCCAATAATCTGGACTCCATACCTCCAAACCTCAGAGTGAGTGGGTGGGGACTCCTCGGAGTTCAATGTTGCAGATGGGGAATATATACAGTTTTATATAGTTCAAACCTTCCCTCAACCATATACCCAGGGTGCCCCTTTGAATAGTCCTTGGGTAGTCTGCCAGGTTTAAGGGGTCCAAATCAGTTGTCCCAGTCAGCACCCATTTCAGGTGGAAGAGTTCAAATGTCTCTGGGAACTAGATAAGAGGGGTCTGCTTGCAGCTCAGATATAACTTGCTCCAGTCCTCTGTGAGGGCAAAGGGACCCACCCAGCAAATGGGTTAGTCTGGGAAGGTTAATATCTCCTTGCACCCAGTCACTCGTAATCCCCCAGGTCTGTGACCCTATTCACTCCAGTATGCCACTGCTCCTGAGGTTTATGACTGGCAAAATCAGCCAGAAATCTGAGTTTGGCAGGGGGGCCTTGCATGTTTAAATTAGGCTTCTGTCCAGCTAGATTTCTCTGTAAATCAGAGGTTGCATTCAGTTCTGGGCAGCAGACAGATAGCAGTTTACACTCAGGTGTCAATTCTAGCCCCTGCCCGCCCACTGCCTTTGTCTCAGGAGTATTAGACCCTGAGGGCTGGTGCTTTACTTACAAAAGTTATCCGCACTTTGCCTGTGGCTGCTGTCCGGAACCTCTGTTTGCCCAGAGAGAAGGGGCTGGAATGGCGTTAGTCTGCAGCTCAGGATGCCACTATTGCCGTATTGGCGTCCCCTGAGCCAACTCTCCTCTCCTCACGCCTATGCCACAGTCAGCACAGAAAAGCACCAGCCCCTTCCCCCTCCACTTCTCTCAAGGAGATGCCCAAGAATCTGGACTCCACAACTCCAAACCTCAGAGTGAGTGGGTGGGGACTCCTCAGAGTTCAATGTTGCAGGTGGGGAATATATACAGTTTTATACAGTTTTATGCCTGACCAGAGGGTGCTGTGGCATGCCAGCAGGGGTAGGAGGTCCAGTTTTTTTTTTTTT